TGAGATTGAGCGATCTGATGTGTGGCATAGCAGCAGAGAAGGATAGCATATGGCGGATGGTCGAACGGAGCATGAAAGATGACAAAAACAATGAATGTATTGAAGGAAGTCAGAAGCCTATGAAGTTTGGAAGTCTGGGAGAGTACGTCACACAAGTGCTCACTTCATGCATGTCTGGAAGCAACAATTATGCTTGCAGAGGAGCTTTTCTCAATGAACACATGTCAAGGTTTTTCAGATGGCTCGCAGCCAATGGCTTGCTGCGGTTGTTTGACGAGGCATGGAGAAAGGCATTCAAGCCACTTTCTGGTGTGATCAAGAAGCTGAGATGTACACCAGTCCTCATGGAAAGAGTGATCAGCGCTCAGGAGTATGGAGAGCTTTCATACCCGCACATGCTGGCATCTCGTGGAGGATGGCCAATCGACATTGATGAAGAGGTCGAGAAGAGACAAAATGTGAAAGCGGAGACGTTGGCATTTGATCCAGTGACGAGGAAATTCACGGCAGCAAGGGCTGTGAAAATGAGAGAAAGAGCAATCAAGAAGATGTATGGAACGGACAAGAGAGATGAGGATCTGCCAACAGCATACAAATATGTTGAGGATGCTTTTGAGAAATGGCGCAGTAGACAGATATGGTCCGCAGCTGGTGCAGCTGGAGGATGGACTGCTCATGTGACTGAAGAGAACGGTGAATTCAAGCCCTTGATAGCAGCAAGAGAAGCAGGGAGAAGATGGATCGAAAAAGCTTGGAAGAAATATGAAGCAGGTGTCGGAACGGATGAAGCAGCAGGTATCAGCAGAGACATTGAGCCAGAAGCCAGAAAGGAGAAGTTCATGACTGCATCTGCAGTGAGCTTAAACAAGAGAGGAGCATTGGAGCGCATGTTGTGGGAATCGGCCTGGAAACGGTGGAGGAAGTGACAGCCGCAGCAACAGCAACATCTGTGATCAAAGGTGAAGCAGGGCTGTCGAGGCTTCTGTTAAGTATGGATGTCTTGCACTACTCAATATACGCACTTGTGCTTGAGTCACACAGACAATCAATTGGCAAGGACATCCGATTCGATCTTGGTCATGGTGCAGCAGAGGAGTATGCGAGATTGGTATGGAGAAGAAGAAATGCAAAGAAGACCTTCAAAGAGAAGATGAACTATGCAATCAGGAATTTTGATTTCGCGGATATGAATAGTCAGCATAGTGGCCTCGTGATGACACTGTTCAATTTGTCTTTGGCTCAGGGGCAGTTGAAGACTGATGAGGAAAGTAGACCGGCTATGATAGCACAAGATATGACAGTTTGGCTGGCAAAGGCTGCATCGAGAACAACGATCAGATGGACACGCGAATCTGGTGCTGATGAAGACATGGCAGGATGGGCAATGTCAAGCCTCATGTCTGGTTCCCGTGGAAAAGCCGAAACAAACACGGGAGAGAACATCGGCTATTCTGAACAAGCAAGCGATTCGATCGAGCAGATACATGGAGCACAGGTGTTGATTGATGAAGAAGGCAAAGGAGATGACGAGGAGTGAGTTGTCAAGAGAGGCCCTCTAGGAAGCGCTTGGCTCAGCGGTGTGGTGTTCGACCGCATGATGAGATTCATTGGGCTATCTGCTTCAGCGATCAAATGCTTAGTTGGACCAGGATGGAGCGAGTGGACCAAACCTCTTTGGGATGAGCTGGGAAATGTGGCAGGATCAGCGATCAGGACTTGGTCTACAACGGTAGTAAGCAGTTGGCAGGCATCACCGATGAAGCAACCGGTAGAATCAACGGTCTCGGGAGCTGAGCCAATTGTGATGAGATGGTTGCAGTGATCATGACTGGTTGGAACAGGAGGTGGTCGAAAATCGGTCACAGAATAGATGGAAGCGACGTAGCAACAGGAACTAAGCTTGGGAATGAACAGACAGAGCATGGTGAGGAAGTCAATGACTGGATTGTGTTGCCCAAAGAATGGCTGATGCGTCCTGCATGGCAAGGAGGTGCTGGATGCGTTGACTGCCTGACAAGAGGAAAACGCCGATGGTACCACTGTCTCTGTTGGCCAGAGTATGCCACGGCTTATTGTAAATGCCCTTTGGACATTCAGGCGTGTGAGGTGGTATCATTGTTGCCTCATGCTCCAAGAAACCAGACAAGGCAAAAGCGAAAAGAGAAGCACTGGATGTGCTTGGCAAGTATATGAGTGGTGATTATGGTTCATGGCTGCGACACAAGATGCCAGCGTTCAGAGAGCTGTCAAAAGAAGATATTGATGAGATCACAGAGGCAGCGAGAATGGACAACTTTGCTGCAACGTTGCCAAGAGACGAAACACAGCGGTTGGCAAGAAAGGACAGGTTTGCAGAATATCTGTGGGCTGTCGACGGGGAAGACAGCAGGCGGAGGCCAGCAGCAGCAGGACAAACAAGTGGGGGCCAAGCGGCTGTCGAGCTAACAGTATGGTCTGAGGCATGCAATGCGATGGTGAGGAACCATGTGCAAGGAGAATGTGCTTTGGGAAATGAAGAAGCAGTGAACAAGATAGCCATGAAAGCGGCTGGCAGGCTGAAGGCAATGATGAACAGCAGGGAACTTGAAAAGGCAAGACGCCTGCTGAGACTGGCAGAAGGCAACTTCTCAGCTGTGTACACGGATGCAATGCAGAAGAGGTATGGATCGAGAATCTGCATGGCATGTGGTACGAATCGAGGATGCAGAGAGGAAAGGATGCCTGAGTTAGCCTGAGTTGGTGCAATTATTGTACGCGCACACAAGAGTACTGACTGAGAAGATTCTGATCATACCTCTCGACCATGGGAGCATGGTATTCCAGCCAGTAGACAGACGTCTGCTGAAACAGTCATGTGGAATGGGTCAGGCTGCAAGGGCTGGAAGAATCGATGCGGTGATGAAGCTGATCAACCACGAGATGAAGAAGACAGGAGCATGGACGTCAAAGAATTTTGCAAGTGTGCTGGTCAAGTTGGAAGATGAGCTGTGGTCCTCGGGGGCAATGACAGAAATCGTGAATTTGTCCAACCGACTTGAGATCATTGCCTTGGTCAGGTGGTTTGAGGGTGATTACCCCATGCCACCAAACAAGGCCGGCTTGTCATCCTTGACTTCAAGCTTAGCACACGGAATAGCATACAAGTCTGTACAGGATGTCATTTTGACTCTGAAATTGCCTCATGTTCATGTGGCCTACTACCTGTTTCGTTGTGGGGGTACTGTGTCGAAACTGCAGTGGTGGTGCCGTACCACCCCAAGGGCCCACCTCTCTGCACTGCTGCAAGATTTCCACGACCCCCAGAAACAAATTGTGGAAACATTTTTGGGACGCCCTTTGAATAACCATCAATGGACCCAGGCCAAGCTGCCCACTAAATTGGGAGGGGCAGGTTTAGTTTCAACCCGCACGGAGATTGGGTTAGATGTTGTTTCTTTGGCTGATGTTGGCTTTCTGGCATCGCACAGGCGCTGTGGCCCTTCTATCCACCATCTGTTCAGCCCCCAACCCGCCCCCAACTTGCACGATTGCTAGGGACCGGCAGTGCGCCACTTGACTGCTTGTTTACCTGAACTTGGTAATGTTTTGCAGGACCCCCCATGCTCAAATGGATCACAAAACCATGTTGCAACGTCTTCACCACCAAGTGTATTCAGGGTTAGTGCAACAACAGGATCGGGTTGGACAGGCCAGGTTGACTGCGGTTGCAGCCCCTTCAGCAGATTCTTGGTTGAAAGCCATTCCTAGCTGGAATCAAGGCACTCTTCTTTCCAACGCTGCATTTCGAGATAGCCTTTCTATGCGGTTGGGAATTCGGGTGTTTGAGGACGGCCGGGCTTGTTCTTTCTGTCAAAATCATTTGGACGCGTATGGTCACCATTGTATGAATTGTATGGGACAAGGGCACAAACAAGTCATGCACACCTCATTCAGAAATGTGGTTTACCGTTTGGCGGCACGTGCCGGCGCCCGGCCTGCCCTGGAACCCCCCAATCTCCTTCCTGACTTACCCCAAGCTCGACCCGCGGATGTGTTGCTCATTTCGTTGCCTGATATTCAACAATCCTCATGGAGAAGGTTCCCTAAACTTGCATTGGACTGTGCCATAACCTCCCCCTTTCAGAACTCCGTGATGCGGCCCTCAGCCTCCATCCCGTTGGCAGCGGCCGACCGGTACACAGACCTCAAACGACACCACGCTGACATGCAAGAAAGATGCGCCCGGCAAAATTTGGGGTTTGAACCTATGATTCTGGAAAGTACTGGTGGCTTCGCGGGGGAAACTGCTACACTCCTCCAATCATTGGCTAAGCTAGTTGATTCCCGTGAAAACCTTCCCCCAAGGACAAACCTGGCAAATGGCAGGTTTTTTTCCCTCTTAAAGAGGTTTTTCCTGCCGTCAGTCCGCTCAGCCCAATGTCCGGCTGCCAGATCTCTGACTCTCCACATGATATGACCGATGTAGACAGATAGATAGATAGATAGATAGAGAGAGATAGATAGATGGATGGATGGATGGATAGATAGATAGACAGACAGACAAATAGATAGAGAGACAGCTAAATAAAAAGATAGATAGATGGATGGATGGATAGATGGATAGATAGATAGATAGATAAGATAGATAAGATAGGGAGATAAATAGGTAGATGGATAGATAGATAGGGAGATAGATAGACAGACAGACAGATAGATAGGTAGACAGATAGATCAGTAGGTAGGTCGGTAGATAATCAGAGAAAGATGGAGAAACAGAAAGAAAAAGAGAGAAAGAGACAGAAAGCGTGAAAGAGATCAAGCACCTTTCAGTCCATCAGTGGCTTTGCTCAGCCATCCCTGATTCACAACAACCAAGCTCTCCTATAGGTTTCCTATTTTTGAAACTTCCGCGACCGCCTTGTGCGTACTACTGGTAATGATATTGAATGATAGACATTGTTAGACATTTCATTTGGTTTGCCGATATACTGAGTCTTGCCTGACCTGCTGAGTTCCGAGAGGTTTCTTCCCCGCACGATCTACGTGATCTACCTGAAAAAGGTGGGTTAGCAAGTTTGGACAAGAAATGTTGCATATACTCATGTTTGATGATGTTCTGTTCAATCACTGCCCTGGTGTAGAAAGTGCAAAGTTTACTTTTTCCATGCTGCAACTTTGGGAGGCTTACGTGCGTGTGCTTGTGTTCAGCATCTCAATTTATGCCCTACAGTGGATCGCAGACTGCTTTTGGAAGGCGGAGGGAGTGAAGTCGGGACGCGTCAATCACATTGGTTGATGAATAGTGGGGTTTTACTACCCAATATATCAACCATGATGGGAATCCCTATTAATGCCCCATAAACCAACCATGCCGAACATTCAAAACCAGAGTCTGAAACTCACCGGCAGGTCTTGCAGTTCTTCAGACCCATGGCCAAACAACAGGCATCGTGGTCATGGTCTATTCGAAATACTTGTGTCACCTTGTGCCATCTCGGAAATGGTTGGAAACGGTGGCGCGTGCTCTGCCACAGGCTTCACGCAGCGATCTGAAGGAGAAGATCCGAAATCTAGAAGCATCTCGGTTTTGAAAGTTGGAGTGACGACATGTTGTGGGTAGCGGCTAGCGGTTGGAGAATGCAAATAGATCAAATAGAGACAGAAAGGGCAACCCGCCCAATATGCAAGTGAGAGGGCACATTGCCTAGCTGAACCACAGGTCTTGTCATTCATGCGGCAAGGATTCGTAGCATTCTGAGTTCCAGCACTTAATTTCGACCACATGTTTACTCTCATTTATTGTCCCTGGGGGTGGTACTGACCTCCATTGGGTTTTGGTGTTTTTTGGATCGTTTTTGTTCTCATCCGACTTGAAGCCTGCCTTTCTGCCACACATCGCTGCAGTTGTAGATCAAATGCGCCTTTGCTCCTCCTCCTCCTCCTCCTCCTCCTCCTCTTACTCCATCATCGCAATGTTTGCTCATCATCCATCTGTGACAAGATCAGTCACAATCAGTGGTTCGCTACACATTGCCCATCACTGTCCCATTGGTGAACACGGAAAATGGATGAAAATATATGAAAATATATGAACATGTATATAAACGTCAAATAACATCAATGTGTGTGTTAACTAGCATGGGACAATTTACAATTTGGTGCCACCGCAATGAGGATCAAGTTGAGTGCTTGAAAGCTGCTGTGCAGCTGGCAGAGAAGGGATCGATCCTCGTCAGCGCCTGGCGGAACCAAATCCAGTAATTTCAGCAGACTGATCCAGTTCAGCACCGTTCAGCACTGTTCAGTGTTCAGCCTGAGGAGCGTGTGCAAGATTTGTTATGAACGAGAGGCTGCTCGACTGCATTGGACCAATGACTGGACCTTTGGCCGTTTCGTCACGCCAAAGATGATAAAGATGGAGTGCTGAAGCCAAGTTGTTCTTGGACGTGAACGTCAAATCTGGAATTTGCTCCGATATTGCTTTGTCGTGCATGTCGCATTCTGTTTGAGTTTTTCTCGGCATGCATGCAAGCAGCCAGCCAACAAAAAGGCTGATTGGTCATGACGATATGCTTCAGCAACCAGGACATTTTTGACTTGCAAAGTCAGTTTGCTGGCTTCTATCGTTCATGTCCCCAGTCAAAAGTGTTATTTTGTTATTTTGTAGTGCCCGACGAACAAAAGCATTGTGATATAAATGAAGTGGTGGTCAAAACATACCAGAGCAATTAGCAGAATAACAGCAATATATTTATTGCGCATAAGAATTCGCAATGTTGTAGCCGCAGCTATCCAGGTTTTGGTCAGCCATGGAGGTTGTCGGATCTGTCGGCCCTTGGGATGATTTTCCCTCGGTTGTTTGGGCTGCTGCTGGCCGAAGCTGTGGAAGCGGTGCTGCTATCGCTGCTATCAGAATGCCTCTTCTTGAGGGGCCAGGGCAGCTGCGAGGAAGTGCTGGAAGAAGGCTATGCTTTGCCAGGCATGATGGATAGTGTTGGATGGGACTAAAAGCGCAAGTAGCTCATCTAGCTCAATGCACCAACTACCAAACTTGTCAAAAATGAATGGAAACAATCATAAACAATCAGCAGGGTGAGCAAGGCAGCGGCTGTTTGCGTAGAATGAACAATAATGACTTGCCCTGTTTGTGGAAAATGGGCGGACAAAGCTGTTTTTTCCCAGTTAAACCAATGGCGTCGTGATTGTTGAAAGTCAGGTCAAGCGGATATCGTCTTCAAACTTTGTCCTGGCTCTGAAGTTTTGGAGGCACGAAATAATTTTCCAGTTACCTTGAAGCTATCCTTGTCACAAGACGGGATGTATTTTGCAGCTTTGGGCCACTTGCCTCCTGGCCGGTCCTCCTGGAACTTTCGTGCAAACTATGTCCGCATCCAATGGACCAAAACCAAAGAGCTCCTGGCAGAAGCGCCAAAGGGCGTGCTGGGCCTCTTCGGGCAGCCATGCTTTGATACCAGCAACCTGACTTTTCCAAACACCGAATGGCAAGTGCCGCAGGTAGTGGTGCGACCCCAAAATTGCTTCTCTGCAATGCTCTCGAAGCATTGTTGTCACCCTTTGAGACCACAATGCTGGGGCTACAACACTTTGCTTGCAATGGCTTGCTGTGCTGTTTCTTTCGAACTATCCACATCGAAATCATCGACTTGTTTAGTGTCCAATCCAAAGTTTCCAAATTCCAACCAGGATTGTCGAGGACGTCCGGTCAATTTTTTCCGTACATTCGGGGATGGAAACGAGCTTAGGCTGGTCGTTGGAGGTCGGATTTGGCAAAGTCCCCCACATGAGATCAATGCCTCGTTGTCAGTTGGCTGTCTTTTCCAGAGTGTCGTTTACCTCTTTCACGAACTTCATCACCTGAGCCGTGACGCCAAATTCTTGCAAGCTATGTCAGCACACCAACTCCACCTATACGTTCGACTATTTCAGGCTAGAGGGTTGGGTTGGAGTGTTCTTTGGACGGGGCATTTACAACCATAATGCCTATGACCTACGGTAGCGTTGCTGTTGCACAAGATCAAGCCGATGCTCAGAGAACCATTGCCAATGATTGCCAACTGATGGATCCTACCCAAAGACACTCTTGAAATGAATGTCGTGCAGAGCCACCATTGTAGTCATTATCATCTCACTATCATGTCTCTGTAGTCAATGCAACAAAAACGCCCAGCAGTGAGACTGGTGCTGGGCCAGGAGCTGGTCCTGGCTTGCGACCTTGAGGATGAGGACTTTTTCCAGCTGAGCGGCTTGCTGCCCAACCAGATGCTGTACCTCGTGTGGCTGACGACGGGGAGGCTGGGGGGCCTGCGCCTTGAGATGTGGATACCCCGGTAGACGTGAATGAAGTTTTTCCATGCTCCCCTTTTCCAGCCTTGGCTTTTAGACACATGATGAACATGTGTAACATGGGGGATAGAGCTGGATGCTGAAAAAGAGATGAAACATGGATTCTTCATCACATACTGTATCACCACAATTCATCCACGCCTCAGGCGCTATGATTGGCTTTTGGATCGAGTACCACGTCCCTCGCGGCCATTAATCATTGACATTGGCACAGCTGGAGGTCTAGAGACTTGGCTCAGGCACTATAGCACCATAGTGTCAGGGAGCTTGCTGTCCTATGGTTTTGTTTGAAGTTGTGGCCCCCCCCATCTTGAGGACACTGCACTGTACTTGGCTTTGGGTGCCCATGTGGTGTCTGTGGAGGCAGGCCCCCTGGACGATGACGAGAAAGATGGCATTTGCCAAAATGAAAGATGCGTTGATTCCCTTTGATGCGAATCTGTAGGAGGGCTAGAGGCTAGAGCATTGTGGGATGTTTCGCAAGGAAAGGGCATGTGCAACATGCTGGTTTATTTGTTCTGGATTATTGTGGAAGATGAATATTATCAGGCCAATCCATTGGCAGCCAACTGCAGCAAGAGCCGTTTGACGAGACAGATGCGAACTGGAAAGCTGAGACTGCTGAATGCCAAGATCAGCACAGGTACCCTCCGTGGGGGGCATCAAACTGCATAGAAATTGGTTCGCCACAGCTGTTAGACATGATGCATGAGACGCGCAATCATTCTGCGGTTCCAGAAGTCTTGTATATATCATATAATGTAAATGTTGTTTTGTATGTTTTGTACGCTTTGGTGGTATTTGGATGTATTTGGATGGATTTGGCGGCTAGGCTGGCAGGGATTTGAACAGTAATTACTCCTAAAACCACCGTAGTAGGGAAATCAACCTTGATGATCCACGGGAGGCACCCCATTGTTGGACAAACCAATTTCACATCCCCAAAAAAAATCACTGCTGCGTAAGAATGGCAAGTTGAAACCACAAAAACTGAGGTAAACACCCGCAAAAATGGTTGAATTTCTTCCAGTTCACACAGGGACAGTCACAAACAGATTGATTAATTCTGCATTTGTAGAGGTAAAAATTGAACTGGTACCCGGGTGGCTTGGAGGTATCGGCCAAGACGTGTTCTTGGGCTCATCACATGCTTTGGACTTTGAGCGAGCGGGAGAGGCGGAGTTGCCTCGCTATGAGTCGAACAGGCCATGGGTGACAGGATATGTAGCCGCAGCGGTAAGCCGTGTTCCTCACCTCTTTGGTGACAAAGTTTAAGATGGCTTAAGGCTTATGGTTCTTCAGCCATCCTATGGTGTCCGAAGTTTTGCGAAATGCTCTGAAGTCATGCTCTTGCGGCTGGGGTGTGGGGACGTAATTATTTGTTTGCAACCCTTGTCCATATGTCCTAAGTATCAGTTCATCACATTTAGTTCCCCAAAGGGTAGGACATGCTTTGCAGTGTGCCCATTCATCGATGTGTCATGAAGCCACCTTGGTCACTGTAAATGGTGAAGGTTCGAGAAGAAAGTTCACCTTCCAACGACCAGCTGCGGTGATCTAGTTGCCAAGTATGGCACTCCCTGGTACATGAAGGTCGACGTGGAGGATGTTCTGGCACTGACAAGCATAATACGTTAGCGATCATGGGATTCGATTGTCCCATGTTTCAGCTTGTCAACTCCAATGTTGTGTAAGTTGTGTATAAAATCTATGGGCGAAGGAGGCTCTGAGATTATTTGGGTTGAGTTGGTGCAGGACGCAACAAAGATTTGCTTGGACTCCTTGGTACGTTTGCCGTTGGAAGCACGACCCGCCCTCATCTCAGCCGAGAGCCTTGACCACTTGATGAGCGGCCCTTGATTCTTCAAACAAGCACCATGAAACCCCACCATGGCCCGCAAGACCATGCTGCTTCATGGTGAGACCTGGCTATGTAATGCTATGTAGTCAATGTAGTGTATGCCATCACCAGGCTAGCGTACTGAAATAGTGACACAGAGATGTTCATGACACATGTAGAGGTGTAGTATTACTTCTTTTGGCAGCGCCGGTCAGGATGGAAGACAAGACCGTTCTGCAGCGATTGCTTGCCCTTGGATATCAGAGCTTCAAGATTGTGCGGCAATCACCTCACAGCGGTGTGATTCTTGCTGCTGAAATGATACGGCGTTGCAAAGTGTTCAGAGTCCAGAGCAGATATGCCGGATAGGAAAGTATTCAGCAGTCAGATCAGGCACTTGATATCAGCACTGCCAAATTCAAAATGGATATTGAATCATATTATATATATATGTACATTATAATTTATTGAGTATGACAATAGTATGATACTGTAGGCTTTTTTGATTTGGTGGGCCCTGCCTTGACCCCGCCACGTGATACCGTGGCTGAGGAGGACCTTGGCACCTGGATGTGCCTTGCACGGTGCATCACAGCTGGTTGAAAGTGCCAGTGGCCTCTTTGGGGATGCTGCCGCAGATGTGCTCACAGGCTTGGGGGTCTTGAAGGATTACAGCTATAGTCACGGTTGGAGGATGAGTTTGGAAGGGCTCGAGGCCCCTGACTGTCAGGAGCAGTTACTGTAGATTGATTTGATGGATTTGCAGGCCCCTCGAGGCCACAATATCAAGACCGCTCCGAGTTTCGCGGGACTAGGACTTAGGCTCAAACACTTCCAATGTTCATGACTTCCCGACGGCTGCTTGTTTCTGGCTCAGGAATGCTCAGGAACTTTACAGGATTTCGGAAGAAATGGTGTGACATGTTGTGGAAAGAAGTGGTGCAGTGATGTGAAGTGCAAGTCCAAGTGTCACTTTCAAAGATCAGGCCTTTTCTCTGGGACTTCTTGCAAATTATGCTCACACATCACCCTAGATCATGGATGGATGCAGGCAAGCAACTTTGAATGTCCGAATGCACCAACATTTACATCTCAGCGAACTTCGTCAATATCAAAATAGACATACATCGCGCTTTAGAGCGGCCGCAAATTGCACACGGCCCCATGGCAACGACATGCCGCATTGGAGCGCACGACCTGGCCGTGGGACCAGGCAAGGAGGTGCAACTCATGAGGCCCGCCACTGAGCTGCTTGGACAAAAAGGTTTGCAGCAGCGGCTGAAGGACGATGGATATCTCTACCTGCAGCAGGTGCTGCCCAGAGATTTGGTGGCTGCGGCGCGGAAAGCCGTGCTTGCTGCCTTGGAGTCGTCTGGAATGGTCTTGAAAGGTGAAAATGGGAAATTGAATCCTGAGGCCAACTGCGCCACTGATCAGGGCGCTGTCCCTGCATCTTTAGCCCGCAGTCCTGAAATGCTTGCGCTGGTGGAAAGTCATGAGCTGAAGCAATTGATGCAAGAGATCTTGGGCTCTGAATCTGTTCAGACTCTGGACCACAAGTGGCTGCGAGCTGTTGGACACGGCGAAAATAGTGGTTTTCACACTGATTCAGTGTACTTGAACAAAGGCAGCCGGGAAGGCTTGACCTGCTGGATTCCTTTGGGAGACGTCGATCTCCGCTTGGGTGGGCTTTGCGTCGTGGGTCGTTCTCACTGCGATCCAAGTTTCGACAAGGTAAGACAGACTTACTCAGCGATTGATGTGGAAACTGCTGGGATTCGAGGCACTGGTTGGTTTACTGAAGATCCTCACGAGATTTTGTCTTATGGTTGTCCTTTGCTCACGGCCCCATTCGCTATGACAGATATGGTGGTGTTTCGTTTGGACACCATGCATGGATCCTTATCCAACGGGAGCCAGCCAGGTGAGGTACGAATCTCTTGTGATACTCGCTGGTATGACGCCAATGATCCACATGGAGTGGATGCTAGGTACATGGGCGAAAATCCCATGGGGACTGCCACTTGGTGGGTCAATCGGCACAATAAGGAGGTGTTTCCTACCTCTATGGAGGAAGCCAAAATAGCCTGGGGATTGACTTCATGACTTGTTGGTTACCCGAGATGGTTTCCAGTATGTAAATATGTTGATATTGACGCAGAGAAGCGGCAAAACATGCCTTCTTCTATGATTCCATACGCTTGTCCAAGGGTGGTTGGCCCGCAGGCGAGAATGCGTCTGGCAGTTACTTTGAACTGAGGAAAAAGAGAAGCACCGAGGGATGCCGATGGGATGGATTATATTAAGATTATTAAGGTAATGGCTCTGTCCCAATAGAAATTGATTCAAATGAGTGAATAGTTTAGTGGGGTTCTCAGATCTTCTTAAGCATCAACCGTCGAAAGGTGCAGTAGACCCAGTGACTCCCCAGTAACTCACATTAAATACTCATATTGTGTTGTTATTATTGTTAAACACTTATTCCAAGTCTATTTTTTGGGCTTGACTTTCATTAATGGAAACACCTGGACCTGGAAAAAGTTAGACCATGCTAGACCTGCATGCAAATTCCAAGAGATGAGAGACAAGAAACGCAGGTGCATCGTGGACCTCATTCGAAGAGGCGTTGGACATTTACCTTACCGTGGTCAACCAACCTGTGCGACAAGCAGTGGCTGCATGGTTTCCATCATCCGGATCCGAGTGGTTCGACGTTCACGCCCGCCGTGAGATGCCTTCAGGAAAAAAGGGACGCGAGTGACGGGAGGAGTTCCGTTGTGGACTTCCAGTTGTCAGACAGCAGCCGGCTGCCAGCTGAAATGTTGATATTTGGCATCCTCAGCATGTGCCATTTATGGAATATGACTATTGCCATCATCTCATTTCAAGACACTGATTGCAGCCAAGGTGGGCTGCGCCCTTGAGCCTTGCCGGCATCACGCATTCTGCCTGCGTTGTTCCCAGAGACTCACAGATCTGAAAGAGAAATGCCCGTGCCATGGCTTAAGATTGAGATGTCAATGTCGTCGAAGATATTGGAAGTGACATGGTGCTGAGCCTGGCTTACCATAAGCACGGGGACATGGTCAGGTCATGTCACGAAAAGTATGTTTTGATGGATGTTGAACTTGGCAGGGAGGTGAGGGACAGTTGTTTGGCGACGCAAGCTATCTTCGGTATGCATTTCGATGCATTTCTAGTCTCTATTAGCTTCACATTTTTCCATGTGCTTCTGATTTTTTCCGAGGCTGTGCAGGCAGGAAGTGACAGGTTTAATCCAGACCTTTGTTTCTTGATCTTCTATTGCGTTTAGTTGAACATGTTGGACACTGTACAGTCGTAGTCCACTTGTAACAATGAATATCATGAGTCATGAGTCATGATTTATGAATCATGAAATTCCAAAAAGGAAATTGAAGACCGTTATATGATGTTATATGTATATCATGTTATATATTCTATATCAATACATAAATATAGTATTTGTTTTTTAAAAAATATTATTATATATTCCCAGAATATGTCAATATTAAATCTGGCCTCATCAAACGCAATCCTGAATCATTAGCCAGATTACGGATTACAAAGTTTCGGATTGTGGTCTTGACGGATTACGGATTAAAAGCCACAACCCCGGAAAGGATGATGACCGGCATGCTGATTTGAATAAGTTTTCTTGGGTTTTCTTTTGTGAGTGTGGTGTTTGGATTCGTTTTTCCGACCTATAAGATCTCATTTTGGCTCCCCTGTGTTTTTGTTTGCCCTCTCGTTCTTGAGCGCAATGCCTTGCAAGTCTGGGTTGCAGCAACGTAGCCACCTTTGGGCCTGGGTCAAAGAACAACTGACTGTATCTGCCAGCCACAACCCCAAATTCCCGAGATTTAGCTCTTCGGAGGCTGTGGCAGCCCGTGTGCCTGACTTCTGAGCATTTTACATCATTTTATTATAGATGTAGGTTACAAGGTCCCAAGTGGAAATTACAAGGGCTGGACTGAAAGCAATTGAAGGCACCTGCACGTGCTTCAGACGAACAGCTGCTTCCTCTCAGATGATGCACTTCCTTATGCTGACTGTGCTGCCATGTCAGGCCTTGGGTAAAGCAGAAAACAAACCTCTACATTGGGGCCGCAGATGTTGTACTGTACACACGGATGTCATTTGTGTACCCCTGCAATGCCCACATGTATGACCGCAGTATGCCCGCAGCATTTGTGTATGCCCACATGTATGACCGCAATGATGTTGTACTGTAATCCTGCTGCGACCCCGCCACGCCATTCGGCTCAACAGGCCCAACAGGCTTTTATGCAATCTTGGGTTGATGTGTTGATTCTAACAATTCTCAGAGTTTCAGGGATCATAAAATGATGAAAAACAGGAAAGTACATGTCACTGATTTGTGACTGTTCATCTTTGTTTCACTGTTGGCCGTGTACGTTGACTAAGAGCAAAGTTCTTTCACGTCTTCGATGGCGGCTGGTTCCACTGGGGCTATCTACGGGAATATCCAACTCATTGCATGCGGTCGCAAGTTTGAGTACCGTGGATTTCAGGGACCGTAGCTTGATTTGCAATTGCCATTGACTAATGACCTGACATGACCATGTCACATGAACTGTAACAGTGTAGCATGACCTGTCACATGAGCTGTCACATGACCTGTAGCATGGACTCTTGTTCGGCAAGTATTGACGGGATGTGACAGTGCGTATGGTCACTGAGGGGGGACTCAACTGACGGTGCCTTGGTGCTCAACTTCCAAACGGGGTGGGGGCGAACTTACTTCTTTTTGGGTGGCGTTGTGCCATGGTTGCTTGTTTTTGCATGTGCTAGGATATGCTGTGTGATGATCTGATATCTAGGTTGGGCACCGCAATCATGTGCATGACTTTGGGGCCAATACACACGGTCATGTCATTTTCATTGGAGCGCCTGAGGCTTCCGCAGAGAACTTGTACCTCCAAGAACTTCACCCCAGGATTTTATCATCATGGAAGTATATGCGGACACTCTCTTCCCTCATCGTATCCTGAAATGACATTGCATGGTTGTGTTGGATGACATGGCATGGTTTGACATGATGACATGGCATGGTTTGACATGATGACATGGCATGGTTTGACATGATGACATGGCATGGTTTGACATGATGACATGGCATGGTTTGACATGATGACATGGCATGGTTTGACATGATGACATGGCATGGTTTGACATGATGACATGGCATGGTTTGACATGATGACATGGCATGGTTTGACATGATGACATGGCATGGCATGGCACGGTTTGACACAATGATATGACTTGCCATGAGTTGTTAGGATGACATGACATGACATCAGGTGGCATGAGCATAAGTGGCATGCATGACATGCATGACACAACATGCCTTAGCACGACCATGGTCAGTACTGATTTGCTGGCCATTGAATCCTGAGACTTCCTCGCGAAGACAAGCGAGAAGAACACTGGCTTGGATGACTTCGTTCAAAACAAGCTGATGGAAGACTATCCTGAGGTGGTGAAGTGGGCGAAGAATGTGGCCAAAACCGTATTGCCCCTTGACGGCAGGCAAACCCAGAAATATATATTTGTTTGGGATCTATGGGTCTTCAAGGTCTTATAACACTGGTGCCCGTTTTAAGGTCCATGGCGGCTTCTGGCAGGAAGGTGAAGCTCATTATCTGGTGCAGTTGGGGTTGTCACCGAAGTGTTGCCTTGGTGTGCCACTTGTTCTCAAGCTTGGCATGTTTGACATACACGTGACTTGCAAAGACATGGCAAAACATGGCATTGCATTTGATGGCATGACATGGCATTTGATGGCATGACATGGCATTTGATGGCATGACATGGCATTTGATGGCATTTGATGGCATGACATGGCATTTGATGGCATGACATGGCATTTGATGGCATGACATGGCATTTGATGGCATGACTTGGGATGTGGTGGCATGACATGGCGCCTAAATTGAAATGGCATTATGGGGGCATGATGGGGGCATGAAAGACGTGTGACATGGCATGTGACACCACGGCTGGACATGGCTGGCATGTCCATTGCAGTGATGATACTGATGGTACTGACCATCAATGCTCCGAGGTACTATCTTTGGATACATCAGCCATTTTACTCAGGACGTTGAGGTGTACTTTCCGAGTTTGGGCCAGAATCAGCGCAAAGGACTGTGGTACCGAGCCTTCGTCGGATATTTTTTGGCATGTATTTCAATTTAACATACTAGGCCTGTGATTGTTGTGGCAATCTTTAAAAAATATGGACGACAACATTAATTAATAATAATCTTTTGAATTTTCATATTCCTTTTGGTACGCCATGGCATGAAATGGTAGTTCTTGATTTGTTGTTGAATCTTGGAAGTGGTCATGCTGGGTCATCATGAGAATCTTGAAGTGCTCATGTGTTTTTGACACGTCCATGATGAGTCATGGCATGCCTTGTCATGAAGGTGGGTTTGAATGTAAGGATCCTGTCTCACTCATGGGCCATCCGCTGTTGAGGTTGGGAGTCAAGCATGCGTGGACCTTTGCTTGAGTTGTGCCTGCAGAAGGCGCAGGCAACGCCGAGTTCGGGATCTGAATCTCTCCCTGAGTCTTCCGCTCCGGCAATTCCTGCTCCTCCAGCTGTTCCTACGTCTACCCCTGTTCCTACGTCTACCCCTTTCCCTTCGTCTACCCCTGTGCCTTCGTCTACCCCTGTTCCTTCGGCGACTGGGATTTCGCTTGGTGGTGCGGATGTTCCTCCTTTGACTGTTTTGCCTCCACCGCCAGCTCACAAGTTTCCGTTTCCGCCGGAGCCACCTGTGACAGCGGAACCACCTGTGACAGCTCCCATGATGCCTCCGGTGCCACCACCTGCGGTGGTTCACAAGGTTCCGGGAGCACCTGTGGCGGCTGCTAAAGTGTTTCAAGGGATGATCAATCCACCACCCAGCGCACGACGCCCTCTGACAGAATGACCGGCACACATACTCCGACCACTACCACCGAAATCGGAGGGGGGGGGACGGGATCGGCCCGGCCGTACTGAGTTTGAATTAAGGGGTCGGTTGTTAAATCCTCAAAGTGCCATGCTTTTTGTGAGGGTGTAATTTGACCTACCCAGGTCTGGAAAAGCATTGTAGCCCTGGCATGTTTCTACAGTTAGCCTGTCATGTGTTTCATCATAAGCCATGAATGTGACCTCAGTATAGCACATGAGAAGAAATGGTTGGCTGCTTCTGGATGCCATGCATGCGATG